CCACAGGCTACGCCTTTCAGGCTTACAATCACGCCACCACACTCTACAAAAATACACATTTCCACCACATCTAGTACCCACAACAGCACAACAGTTGATGCAGCTCTATATGACCAAAGGTCATTCCAAAGAACACTGCGCCGCGGCGCTGCGGCCACGAAGAGAAAAGACTATGCGCCAGTATTTTGCAGACTGTCGTTGTGTACATTTCACACTATTGAACTTATTCGATGTCCAGCCCTTCCAATATTTATTATCCAGGTACTACCTGATCCGATCTAGTTGCGCCGATACGGCTCTGTGTGTGTGTCCACTCCTGTTTCCAAGGACACTACTCTAGTACTTTTTCTAACCTACCCTACGAGCCTTCCAACCACTGTACGGTAGCAGGGGGCACGGCGGCCGTTCACCTAGCCGTGCTAACAAAGCTATGGTGTTCGGTTGGAAGAGATACTGGGCGCAGTATCTTGTACCTGCAATTTTTAACTCTCACTCATTGATGCGTCTAAGTCAGTTCAACGCTGTCTCCTACGTTGATTTTGCAATAAAGTGCTAATGCTCTCGGCTAATGCAGTACCTAAATGTAAAGGGCTAATGCACACCGCGAAGCAACCTGAAGTCACGCTCCACGGAGCAACCTTCTCAAGTGTGTGACAAAGCAAGTGTGAATCTGAAGGCTCCTCAATCCACGTGGGATCTTTAAACAGGCTACTTTGGGGTTAAACCTGGGTTTCAAGCTCTAGCTAGTGCCCGTTGTTGTTCTGTGATGCGGAGGTTCCTGCAGCTCTCTATGGTTCTCTTGTACTGTATCTAAGTTTAGGCTCTAAGGCATCGCTCACTATCCACACTCACAAGTGAGGGATGTTGTCACTGGCGCTGACTATAAAGTCGCGGGATACAGCCGCCGTGTCTGACTGGGCCCCTTCTTGGATCTGGGGCCCCCTGCTCTTGGCCTGGCGGTTGACCGTGTACTAGCAAATCATTCTCTGAGTTCAACCGCCAGTCAAGGAAGGTCCAACATTCCCCTTTCCTTCTTTCCTGCTCTTGGGATTACGCCGCCAGGCCAAGAGCACGGGGCCCCAGATCCAAGAAGGTGAGTCAGACACGGCGGCCATGGAATCTATTAATATGTTTAAGTTGGTTGCCGCCGGTGTCCATTCCTTGGCACAAAGATCTTTCCCTGTCTTTTGGTTGCCTTTTGCCGACCTTGCCCTCAGAATGGCCTAAGCCATATCTTCGTGCCTGCTCTGAAAGGATTGCCGAGAAAGCACACCGCATGGCCCAGCAGCAGGAGGGCCGGCAAAGCACCGACGCTTCGGCGCGCGGTTCGGAGCCGCCGCAAACCAACGCGATCGGGCGCCATGTTGGGCGTTTTGGGGGCTCTGATTGGCCAAATGCAATTATGAAGGGGTCAGTGGATCCAACCACCTCATCTGGGATGCTTCCAGGTTGGTGGTCAAGGTGGATCTGAGATGATCTGGATGGCTTGAGGTAGATCTGGGATGGTCAACCCATTTTCTTTGCCCATGTTTGAGCCAAAGGCCTAAGGCTTCAGGCACGATCTGGCCAAGATCTCGAGTGTTCTGTCCACCCAACCACGTGCGATGCGCCACTCATGTGCGACACCTGTCCACAAGTTTTGAGATTACTCAGAAGTGTGATATAGCTCTACTCAAAGGGGACTTTGAAAAGCTGACAAGTTATAAAACACATTAAAGAACTAGTTTGGTATGATGATCAAAATCCAGTAAATCCAAGTGAGTTTGATAGGTATACTGACCGCATGTTTGTGGTGTTCCCATGTCCTGATATTCATCACCTGAAGGCACTTGGACCAGCAAAGGGAATCTATGGGCCACCGCCAAGTGCCAGTTCTGCAACCCCTTTGCGATTTCTGCTATTCCCAGAAATAGACAAGATCAAAAGATCATTATCTCACCTACCTTTTAATTGATCCCTTCGCTTGCTTGTCTGTCAAACTGGCAAAGCCCACCAGCGCCAGCGCAAACAACCGACTCCGCCAGGACCAACTTCGACCACCCCACTGCCAGGGGGCTGATCCAGCCACTAACGGCCTCAGGGCTGAGCGCCACGGCCTGAGAGGCGGGGTGAAGTTGAGTGTCAGAAGCCAGAAGGCCAGAAGGTGCTGCTAAGTTTTTGATATACAGTATGTTTAAGTCCATCATCAGCACTCCTGAAGTTCTGCTGGGGGGTCAGATGGAAGTTCCATCATATGCATGGAGGTTCTCCACTTGCAGTGGTCTCATCTGGTTTCCCCTCCACTCAATGAAGCTCCCAGCCTCCGAGCGTTCAGCAGCTGCCCGGGTGGCGCCCGCACCCTGGAAGTCCTGGTGGCAGAGCTGAAGTTGAATGGATGGAGGATCAAAAATCATGAGGACACCTAATGTGTGACAATTCCAGGCCCTACGATCATCCCGCTTGGATTACCAACACATGCCTGGAGTGTTTTGCGATGCATTTGGCATTAGGTTGGGCATTCACCCATTTGCTATCCCTTAATGGCATCTTCATTCTGCTCCGTCAAACGCTCAGTCCAGCAGAATGAAAGAGATCAAAAACGGTAGGAGCTCAGCTAGGCAGTTCGGCCCTGGCTGGGGCTTTATTCGTAGTATGGGGTCTTCCAAGTGTGGCCAGTGGATGAAGAGTCGCACCTGGAAACCTCCAAAACGAGAACCGTGGGAGATTCTGCATCGCAAATGGTTCCTTCAACAATAAGAGGGATCCACCTTTGTGGGGGTGGTATGATTTGGCAAGAGCTTCTGGTTTTGTCAATGTTTAACATGACACCTCCGTGCCTGCCTTGAAGTACTTGGGTGCACCCTGCGGGAACCTTGGCAGCTGAGAGTCTGTTGACCCAGCAGTCTGCTGCAAGTCAAAGGGAAACCCAGATGGGAGGCTGTATACGCTCAGTCATCTACCAACACCTGATGAATGATGCAGATTTAGCTTCTTGATGAAGCCTTGCCGCAATGAGCGTTAAATTAAAGCAAACCTGGGTTCTGGCAGACCCGTGAAAGTCCTGTGTGGCTCAATACTTTAGTTTGGGACTTTGGCCTTTCCATGCCCTTCTTCCATGTAAGTGATCCTGGGCCTCCGTAAAGTTGCTCCAACACCCAACGTTTTCGGAAGGTCAACTGCTGCATTCCTTTCCCTCCTTTCTCGGAACTACTCGCAAAAATTGAAAAGACCTGGGGAGCTGGGAGGCCCGGCCTCCACAGATTCATGTCTTTTTGGGTTCGTGAAGGCACCCTTCAGGTGGCCCATTCCCACGTTCCCACCATTTCTCGCCCAAATCTGCCAAGGGAGCTGTTTTAGGAAGCCGGCCCACTGCACAGGAGCGCAGCCCAGGCGGCTGTTCACGAGCCCGCCACGCAAGGCGGTGGCCATCACTGACATGCCCAACCTGCGGAAACCCCAGATGGCTTGGTTGAAGTTGTTGTACATGGAGGACCACACCAGAACTACAAGGCTTGGAGATGCGCCCTTCCACATACATGTTCATGTCATGAAATGATCTTGGCCATTGGAAACTGACCTGCTCAGTGCAGTCCAAGTGGCTCGTTGCTGATACCGTTGATCTTCAGCCGTGCAAAGGAGTTGTTCTGGGCCTCGAAAGAGTGAAAGAGTCTGGTGATTGCAAAGAAAGCTGAGGCGTCCTATCCAGTCCAAGGACAGATTGACTGAATACGACCAAGGTTTATATATATACCAGGATTTCTACTCCTGAAGTGGGGGGTGGATGGCTCTAGCTCATGCTGTTGGAGCCACAAAATCATGCACAGACAGACTGAACAGCAAAAAGTTCCTGTTCCACATCTACTCTGCAGGGTAAGTTCATGTTTGTTCATCCTCCAACCAGATGCCGCATTGGTGAAAAAGGCTAAACAATCGTCCCAGCCCATTCTGTCCACTACATGACATTCGTCCTACTGGGAAGGAGTCGTTGCAGAGTGCTCTGCATTGAGAATCTTGCGGAACCCCCTGGTGGAGTGGCCTCACCCTGAGAATCCTTTAATATCCTTTATATAGAGAAGAGCATGGTCCAAGAATTCAACTCCAAAGGCCAAGTCCTAATGGAGAACACACGCACTCAGCACCCATGATCACCTTTTTCAGTACTTGCTTCATTGCGTCCGAGATCAACTCTGCCAGAAAACCATAAGCAAGAGCACATCCTCATTCGCGCTCTCGCTTTAGCCAGCTAAGCCGAGACACTGCCATACCCACTTCCAACCAGGGGCCCCATTGAACGCTCATCGCATTCAAGCCATGCAGGTTCCAATGGTGTGCCAAGGCATCGAGGCCTCATATCTTTTTCGTGCAGGGAGCGCGATGCAGATCCAGGTTGCTCCAGATTGGGGATTAGGGAAGGTTGGTGGGATCTCCACCATCCGAAGGCTCATTGCAGGTCATGACCATAGATCACACAGGGGTGAACCCCAATATCTGGCTGGCACTCTTTCGTTCAACATCCGCTCTGCTAATCCATCTTCTGCTCCCCAAAGCACTTCTCACCCACCTGTGTGGTGTAGGAGGGCGGCTTCTCAATCAACTCTGTTTCGAGCACGGAAACAAAAAGAAAGTGTTCGGTCCATCTCTTTCGAGGTACTTTGAAAAAAGCAGGCATCGAATCGAACCACAAAAGAAAGTCTGGAACAAACAGGTCCTATCAGCTCCTGCTGCTGGAATCCATGCCTAGCGGCCTAGCGACCGAGCGGTCTCAACACCCCTGGTAACTCCCAACAACCAGCTAGTCAGCTAAGGCACAGGTGTTGGCAGCTGCGTAGTTGCCCTGACCTGGGGAACTCTCAGAAACACAGCTGCTACTTTCAGTTTCCTTGTATCAGAATAACTGTCGACTTTCACCTGTGGCAGTTTTTCAGGAATTGTCTGTGTGCTATCTGGCTGGTGCTCAAAGCATGCTGTTTGCTCATTTGCTCGTCCACTCAAAAGGACAAGTCGCAATCCCTGATCATTGGCATCCCCAAAACCGAACCAATTGCGTTAGTGTGTAGAAGCCAAAGGGAAGAGTCCAGGAAGACTACCTCTGACTTCCTTGCAAAGCAACAGCAGACTTCCTCAAAAAAAAGAAAAAGCACCGAGCAAAGTGGGACGTTCCCCCCACTACACTACACTGATACTATACTAGTGAGTGAAAAGTATTTTCAAACAATGCCATATTGATGCAAAGGTCGATAGAGACCACAAAGAGCACTGGCTGGGGACCTTTTGCTGGATTTGAAACCCAATGTCTCTGTCTCGCCTGATGTGTCCTCACCTGCTGAGATGATTGGCCCCGAAAGATTTGAACGGTTTCAGAAAAATTGAAGATGTGAGGGAACCAGAGATCTGTGTCTTTCCCCATTATCATGTTCACAGTATCGTAGGCACTATATAATTGTCTGGCATGTGAATTCTGAGTTGTTCCTAAGGGAGCAGGTCACTAAGCAGGGGAAATCCATTCTAGGATGCTGCCGCACCTGGTCAGTCTCTCATCGATCATCCCGGCCTGCTGCACCGAGGAGAGCGGCAGTTGAGGAGTAGAGCAGAAAGAAGTCCAGCGAATCCAGATTCGCTGCCGCATGAAGGTTCCTGGGCGGGTCTTGCAAGAACGGCTTATGGGAGGGACCCTTGGCTTGAGTAAATGGTGACATGGTAGTCTCATGTAGTCTCAATCCCCCTATTGGTCCATTGGATCTATGTCTGAGTTCTCAAACGAAGGTCATGGGCATCAGTTAAGCCATGTTCCCTTCTGTTTGGAAGTCCGCAGTTTGTGGCACCACCTCTCACACATGCCGCTGCCCTTTTAGACCTTTCACACCGAGGCACTTAGCACCAACCACCTTTGCAGCATAGGCCCGCTCCAGATGCTGACCTGTCAAGCAGACCATATGGAAAACTGCTCTACATTAGCCAAATGTCTTTGAATAAACTCTGCACCCTCAGTGGTCTACACCCCAAGAAGCAGTTGCAGATAGGTGCACACAACTGGGTGTGGCAGAACGCACTGGCCGGTCAGGTCAGGTCCATGGGTTTTCATTGTCTTCCCATGTTCTCCGCTAACAACTGCACGAGTCCCCAGTCACCACAACAAGGATGATGGATTAGTCAAAATCCGTGTCAGTCATCCTTTGCCCCAAAGAAGATGTGTGGGATCTGTTTAGGGGCAGGGATATGAAGTGGGTTTCTTGGAGGAAAATGCAATAGAAATCAAGAGAAACACTCAAGCAAACCTAGTATGAAACGATATGTATCAATGATGAAAGATTCTTCCTTCCCACCAGGGCACGAGTCAGCTGTGGAAGCATGGCATCATCCAAGACCTCAGTTGCGGTAGCACACTCTCCTCTCCCTACATCATTGCACCACTTGAACCGAGACCAGCAATGGCAAAAAACGATCAGCAAAGGAACCTAAAATGGTAAGTGAATGATATGATGAAAAGTGCCCCAACATATGCAACACGTACCAACAAAGTGCAGCGGGAAAGCACAAATCGAAACCAAGTGGGGCGGGAGGCGAGCTTGCTGGATATTGATTGAAGCTATTATCATTCTAAACTGGGGGCAACCCTGCTGACAAATCATCCATTTCACAGCCTTGACTTCACGCTGCTACATAAACAATCCTAAACATCGGGGGACGTTTGGACTTTCCCTTGGCCAAGTCACACCCGCCAAATGCAAGATGCCCCTGACGGGGCACTTCTTGCCTTGGCCGGGTCCGCACAGCTGCTCATAGTTCAGCCAGGTAGCTGGTGCAAGACGTCTGACTGGAAAGGAAGTTGCTTTTGTTGGTCCAACAAGTTGACATGACATGAATGTGGGCCGCAGCCAGGTGAAGTCTCCTCCACTGTCAAAGGACACCCTGCTATGAGATGCTCCCATGTTTCTTGTGTTCATGTGTACATGATTGATACGAATTTTATCCGAAATGCGACACTCAGCAACTTCTAACTTCGACCAAACACCCACTAAATATGCATATCATTTGTCATGCATTGTAGTCGGGCAAAACGTCCATTGAATCATTGGGTATGCTTTTTGTAGATAGTAAATGAGTCGAGTAATTACATGGAATGCATGACATTGCATAGCCCTTTGAAATCTTCGGTGTATGCAAAAGCTTTAGAGAGTTCCTACCAATATCCATCTTTCAAGAGCACAGGCAATTTCCAGTGTCAACATGTGCCTGAAACACCCCAGCACACCGCACCACACCCCACCAGACCCCACCGGACACTGGGCACCACGAAAAGCCGAGGCGCGTGGGCCATCTGTGGCGCTGGGCGCCAAGAGCCGTTTCTGCAGCTCGGCCTTCGTGGCGCTGCTCACGTCGCAGGCCCAGGCTGTGACCTCCAGGAGCGAAACGCGGCTGTGAGGCATGTTGGATTTGTCATGAGATGCGAAAGGATTTGAATATCCATCAAACTGCTACCCAGTGGCTGTGAGCGTGCACATGACTTTGTGGAGTAGTTGGATGAGGGTTCAAGCAATCAACGAACTCCCTGACACTGACTCGAACGCATTGAAAGGTTTGACGAAGTATATAAACATATCTAAACATAGTTAATCATATATATATATTGGGTCTAGGTCCTATGTAGAGGCCTTGTCCAAAAATAGTGATAATTGCTTACTGACTGTTACAGGTAATAGGACAAACCCAATTTATATTGACTATCGTCCAAGCAAGTGTGTGTAGCACAGCACCGCCAACATAGAGAGCTTTTGGGAGGTTGCCACAAGCCCTCAAAACCAGTTGCGCAGCCCCACCTGCAGCGCCGACTCCTGCAGCCATCTCCACTGGTTCTGCACTTCCGCACCAGGACGCCCACTCCTGGACAGGCGAAGATCATGGCCATGTCGAAAAATGGAGCCCACGTTCTAGTATCCCTCGCATGGCCATGTCGAAATACCTTGTAATCCTGCTTCTCAAATCCCCCACCCTCCCACCTGTGCTCCCAAGATTTTACCACACCTTTCCTTTCCCTCAGCAGCCGCCACCCACCACATGACGCCACCCGCCCTCAGCCTGGACATCAGCAGCAAGCTCTTGGCACCCTCTTCCGCCAACGCTTGTGCAGTGACCAAACCCAAGGCACCCATCCCGCCGCTGAGCACATAGGAGGCATCCGCTGAGACCCCCATGCGTCGCGGCACCGTGAGGACCACCTGACAAAAGGGACGCGTGGACCGAAGTGTGTTGGCGCACAGAACGCGGCATTTTGACAGGGATTTTGTCTAAATCATGGGTTGGATTTGATCTGGATTGATCTGGTATTGTTGTCTTGGGGACGGAATTGTCCATTCGCAAGTGCATAATGAACTGGCAAGAATTTGGTGTGGCCAGTAGGGAACCTGGAAAACCAACATTGTTTTACCGACTATACTGTCGAAGTTGAGTGAAGAAATCCTGAACCACCCCAAAGCTCTAACACGCAAGAGGTTGGGAGTCTCCTTTCAAGCAACTTGTGCATGGTGTCTTCCTCAACAGTATAGCGTTCTGCATGGTGCCTCCAAGTCGTTTCATGACATTCCTCTGAACAAAACGAAAGTCCTCAGCTCAAACGGGCTCAGCGCTATTTGAAGACTCCTCCCAGCCGTTGGCCTTTCCAATGTGCTGTGCCCGCTGGAGGAACTGCAGTGCCTCCACGCCTTTGCCTTGGTGGGATCGCTTTGACGGAGCAAACACATGGTCCAATGGTCGGCCCGTCATACGGATCGACTGACTTGACAAAATAGTTATATCCGTCTTCCACATGTTCAAGGTCGGAGCCTTGGAGTTTGTTGAGAAAAAAGCAAAACATTAACAAATTAACAAAATGGTCGTTCTTTAAGGGGGGTGGGTCCCTAATAGAGGAGGTAAAGGAGGTAGTAGGTACAAGTAGAGGTAGGTAGCTAATAGCTACTAAGACGCTAATTACTACTCCAGGAAGCTCCCCAGGCGGCGGGGGAAGCTTCCTTGAAGAAGCGCTCGCACTAACGATTTGGTTCCTAAATTATTAGATATTATTTGGGAAACTTAACTAATCCAGGTTGCTGAGACCTTCAAACTCCGTCGCCTCGAGCGGCTTCCAGGAGCCTCGGAGAACACCGCCGATCGTTCAAATTGATCTGCAGTCCGCTGCCACGGTGTTCGCCCCAAGAGTTTGTGTTGAGCAGTTGGACTTGCCGGGGGCGGCGCTAAACTCCAACCCGAGGGCGAAGCAGAAATGCCACCCAGCAGAGGAGTTCTCCGGCTTGTATTCTCAAGAGTTTCTTGGCTTCAGCGGCTGTAGCCACGCTCTTTAACGAACATCAGCCTAAAAGGGTGACTTAGCAGGTGCTTGTTGGTCCAAGCATGCTGGTGAGACCCTCCGTGCCTGTCTCATTCGCTCCCATGGTCGCTCCTATCCACCCTCTCGCCTTGCAGGTCCTTCTCCAAGCGCTTTAGAAGGCCCTGATAGCGGTCCGGCTCATTCTCACCTCAGCCCCGGCTCTGGCCAGAATTGGTGTGAACAAGTGGCCGGAGTGCCTGAGGTATCATCTTTTCAGATGGTTCAACCAGTGGTTCATGACTTTCGTGACTTAAGATTTACTTTTCCTGTGGTTTCAATCTTCTCCAGCTTTGTTCAGCAACTTCTGGCGCTGAACATGTGCTCATCCGCCACTGCTTGTGTCCGCCTCACAAGCCACTAGAGAAAACTCCCCTTACCCATCCTTACCCTCATCCTCGCATGTGGGGATTGGTGACCTCATAAGGCTCACCCCTTGGAGCATTTGCAGAAGCCGAAGCCCTGCTAAAAACAAGTGCCAAGTGACAAACTCCATCGATCGCCAAAGGATAGTACTTCACATCTTTTCGGAACTTTGCCACCTGAAAGTGCCGTCTTGTGTGTGTGTGTGTTATTTGCACCTATCGTCAGAGCCTCCCTAACCCTTGCTCGAAACTATTGCGTGTAGCTTCTGTGCTTGGTTCGGTCCGTGGGGAGCTAATCCACATATCTGCGGCACGTGGGTAATCAGAATAAAAGCCAGTGTGATCCTCCCATCAGCGTTGAAGTCTAGCCCGATTGGATTGGTTTCACCAACTTTCATGAGATCGCCATTTTCTCCGAAAAGTCCCCTCAGTCTGAGACAACCTCATGACTTAACACCTACACACCCACCGAAACCGAAGCAAAACAGCTTGGCTTGATGCAGGGCAACTCTTTCAAACAATCGCCCTCGGCCTCAACCTCAAATCAAATCCCCAACAGGCCTCTTCCACTGTCCAGACGTCGCGCTTGCCAATTTCCACAAAACGGCCACCTGTGCGACAGCGCATACTATGAACCTCCTGCGACCCCTGCTTGTTGGCACAAAGGATGCACGAATTGCTGGCAAACTCAAGTTTCCACCACCTGTTCATGGAAAAATATGGAAAACAAGCATGTCGATTCAAGGGGGCCATCAAGCTAAGAAAAAAAAGTCTCACCTAATTAAGTGTGTCGAAGCCCTTCGGTGTGACACAAACAACCTCATGGCAACACCAATGAAATCATCGCCACACGTTGACTCCCATCCCCACCCAAAACATCTCGATAAGAAACCAACCAAATCCCAGGGCTCCCCCAACCACCCACTAGCCCAACGTTCGGGTGCTGAAGAATCAGCCCAGGTATTGCCACGGACGCCCCGCCTTTGGCCAACAATCCCAAGCTACGGCCGATGTAGTTGTCATGGCTCCTTGGTGGTGCATCTGAGTCCATGGAGCTGGTGGGGAATTTTTCAGCACTTGAACCACTAAATCTGCCTCCCCAGGTTCAGCGGACCTTAGGGATCCTTCAAAACAAGGAGGAACGATCGAGGCGCTGGATGAAAAAACACTCAACATGATTCAAAATGTATATAATTATAATTCCCAAACAAGGGGAACTAGACGAGTGGGTGAAGAAGGTTGCATTTGACCCAGAATGAACCACGACTCTCTGTGTCGTTAGCCTCTCCACGTCACTATCTCCACTCGACCGACAGTATGGATTGGGCGACCTAGTAGAGGGCTCCAGGGCTTCCAATGTGTTCCCCAAAAGCATCAAGGATCGGGAGGTGAACACCAGCAGCTCCATTGTCTTGAATGCTAGATCCTCATTGTCAATAACCCTCCACTCTCAGGAAAATTCGCAGCTTGCGAGTCAAGCGGCAAGCTGTTCAACACAACGTGAATGCCATCCGTACCCTGACCAGGCGCAAAGGTTGCTGTGGAGGCATGGGGGGTCCTTACAAACTCGATTCTACTCCTGAACAGTTCCATGCACACACACTTCACTACTGGCAGTTGGTGCTTTCCGACTTCACATCTACAAAAGGACTGAAGCACGCAGGCAGCTGAGCACTGACAACCACCAGGTGTGAGATGATTTTGATTCGCTCACTGGGCTGAACATGTCCAATCCACACCCTACGGCCCCAACCCCCTGGGCCCCTACTACGTTCTCAGAACCTACTCGAACGACATGCTTGGCCATTTCTATAGATAGGGATTTGGGTTCCCAAAGGCAGGCGCCTGACGACTGCAGAGTCCACCTGACGTCGCCCTACCATCGTCCTTGCTAGTAAGGATGCTTCTAGTAGTACGGCCAGGAGCCCCTAGTAGCGTCTTTGCTCCTAGTAGTAAGGCCAGGAGCCCCTAGCAGCTTCTTGATACGTAGCAATGGCCTCCAACCTACTCGTGACGGCCTCCACCCAATAGCGTCCTTGCTACTAGTCCCGGCCCAACTTGCCCGACCGGCCTTGAGGAATTCTTTCATCTCCTTCTCAAACTCATCGCCTCGAAGCAAAGTGAAAACCCGTTGGGGTCGTGACTCGAAAATCACACGTGCTGGTTGCTGGTGTCAAGGCCAATGGGAAAAGAAAAATGAGTCCTTGGGATGAATCATACCAGGCAATAGTTGAAAATTGGAAACAAACGAACTGTTGAACCCGTCAGCCAGATGTACGGGGCCAGATGTACGGGGCCAGATGTACGGGTTGGCCCAAGCTGCTGCAGTTGATGATTGATGATAAGTGTCTATGCTTGGGTGGAAATGGACATGGCAGCAGCACATATTGTGAGTAATTAATAGCTAGACCTTCCTCCTCTTGTGTCCTCTCCGTCTTATGAATCCACAGGTTACCTGCTTGACTTTGGAAGATCCAACCATCGGATCCACACAAGCTCGGTGTAATGCTTAAACTCTTAAACCATCTGAAACCCTCTCTGTTGCCATGCCGAAGAAAACCACCAGGTTGCTCCCACTTCTTCCAAGCCACCATTGCGGCTGGAGGTGATGAACTTCACTCCCAAGTCCCTCAGGTGCTGCCGCTTCTCTTCACGCCCAGCCGTGGTGTAGACCTGCAAACAACGAACACATCGCTGTTGCACGCCCCCAAGTGACGTCAAGAGATTGCAGAAGGTGAGGAGGCTGAGGAAGTGAGATGAACACTTTCCGGGCGGTGATTTAGATCAAAAATGCTTTAAGGCTAACAGCGATGGCCTCCAACCTAATAGCGATAGCCTCCGATCTAGAAGCGATGGCCTCCAACCTAGAAGCGATGGCCTCCAACCTAATAGCGATGTGACAAATGGTATCTTTAAGTGTTAGTCCAAACATTTCCACTAGAGACTTCCCCTTCGATTGCAAGACACACTCCTCTTCTCCCCCTGTTCAAATGAACTGGTCTTGCCCAACCTCAGCGCCCAAGCGCTGCGCATACTGCACTGCCACCAAGCCCACGCCGCCCGTGGCTGCATGGATCAGCACCTGCGTTCCAGTCTTGTCCGGACTGGTCCGGTGGAGGGGAAAGCGTGGGGGATCATGGCAGCTTGGAGGTGAGAGGTGTAGAAGTGGTTGAAGATTCAAAAAGTGTCTTTCTGTTACATTAATAGAGCGGCTTTGTGTGTAGAAGCGGTTGATGTGGCGGGCGCCGCTTTGGAAATACAGACTGTGTTGCTTGGACGGATTCTTTTGACAAGTTTGACCAACAATCATCTTCACCAGGCTCAATCACCAAGTCCTTCAGTTCATAGACTCAGCAAATCCACAGCAAGATCTACCTGATTGGCTCCCACAGTGCCACAATTACACATACATCATGCATCTGTGGGTTCCCCAACGATCTTGGGATAACACAAAGGCACTCCTCTTTTGCTGCATTTTGTGGGCACCCTGAGGGGTTCCGTGGCCTTCTCCCCCTTCTTCAGCTTAGCAAGCTCTGCAAAGGCCACGTCCACCGTAGTGTACACCGTCGGGAGTGCGGCTGCCGCCGCAGCGCTGCAAGCCGCAGGGCGGGGCACCAACAGTTGCCAGGGAGTTGTTGCCTCAGTCGTCATCTGGTAAACCAACATGTATTGCCCGCCAGGGACGGCTACGTGGCTCGGCACTTTCTATGATATTTGCTTGGTAGGCAACTAGGCCCGATCTGATTTTTCGGGAAGGATCTGCTGCAAAACCCAAATGATTCAAGATCAGGCATTCCTTCTGCTGTCACCACACAGATCACCAATGAGTTTAAATTTGCTGGAGATGATCCTCAAAATGATCATTCCATGTGAGAGATGATCCAAATTGTGCCATTCTTAACAATTGATGGACATTTCAGAACTCACCTCAATCATTCGCCCGGGCCACATAGGTCTTCAAGCACCCCCAGACAATGCCGAAGGCATCGTCTCCACAACGGAGGCCACCTGCTCCGTGGATCGCTATGCTTTTTGCCAGGAACGGATGGCGAGAGGGTGGGAGCTTGGACACTGAAATGAACTGGTCCTAAAGCGTCACCACCAAAGGGCAGAAAGCCCCTAGTAGCGTCCTCGCTCGTAGTAGCGATGCCAGGAGCCCCTAGTAGCGTCTTGTTGAGAGTCAACAAATATCAATCGACAAACTGGTTCATCACCGCAAGCCTTGCTGGGAAATTCAAAGCATGCGTCTTCTTGTGGCTATCAAGAGTTTCAGATTGGCCTGCTCTGTTTCTGTGATAAAACGCCCACAGACGAACATCTCAAAATTGAACACAATACTCACCGATCCCAAATCCCACGGACTATATAGTTTATGTTTCTTTGGCCCAATCACAACTTGCCCAGCACATCTGGGATTGATAGTATGACAATCGAAACAACCACCCATGAGACTGTCCACCCCGGTGCCTGGGTTCTTCCCACCTTCCACGTTCACCACCTCAGAAGTCTGCGCTGGGCTCGTGTGATCGGCAGTATTCTTGCTGCTCCGGTGGTTGCAGCCAGGTATGGTGTATGGCGGGCATCTTGTGGGTTCCATCTTCCACTCTCTGTTTGAGTCTGAAAAGCAGCCCAACACCCGGCTGAGGCTGTCTTCTTGTTTGGACATGAGCCAGACTTTTGAAGCTTATAGGGTACACGTCACGGGACAGCCACCTCTCAACTTTGGACACATTTGCTGTCCAATATTTAAGTTAGGACTCAAAATATGGGAACCTGTCAAACGCTCAGGAAGTTGGAAAAATCAATGAAAACACAAGGGGGTCCTCTCGCTTGAAACAGGCCGATATCTGATGTCAATATCTCTTCATCCCAAATGTCCCACTGCAGATTGAAATTCAAAGCCGGACTCAAACCACCCTGGTTTGCGGGGTTACCTCTCATATACTTGGTGATGTCATCCTCAACTGCCTCCCTCAACCAACCGTGAAAGTAGACCATGACAAGCAGAAAGTACAGTGGTCTCGAATCCCCTACCTTCCATTTCCATCTTCTTTCTCGTATGCCGAGGCACTGTGCCACTGCAGTCCAGACCGGGGTCTCCAGGATCGCCTGGGTACATGCCCATGACCTGAGCTGAGGTCTCCGTAGGTGCGCTGATCCAGCCGCTGATCATGATCTCTGATTTACTTCCGCTTCAACAAGATCTTGGGGCTTGGAGAATGGTTCTTCAGGCAATCCTTCAAACCAAAGACTGTGAAATCATGATGGCACTAAAGAAAGACTGGATGGTTCTACGACATCATGACATCATGGCATGAGTGTGAGCAGGTAGAAACTCAACAACTCCCTCCACCATCCAGCTCACCACTCCACTTCTCCAACTTCTCACTGGGATATATGAATAGCATATAATATCAGATCTCCCACCTATTCATTTGTCCATCTGAGGCACATTCAAAACATCTCGGAAGTTCAAGCCGATGGCTTCCACTCGGACCTCCACTTCACCGGCCTTCAAGCTTGGTCGCTTGGTCCTGATCGAAAAATAGGTGGGCAAGCGGGTAGACGGTAGAAACAACGTTTTCTTGCAGGAAAGGTTCAGTGGAGTTATATAGTAATCTATTGGCTGCCATGACATGGACACGCCTGGACACAGAAAGAAACTGAGTGTACGTAAGTCTAGTTGTTTCCTTCTGGATATCTTTTTGGCAGAAATCCAATTTCTTGACATGCGCAAATCCCTTCATTCCCAAAGGATCAAGCTTAAAGGCTGGACAGAGGAGACCAATCTTTCAATGATCTCCTTACTTCAATTATACAATGTATATAACCGAATCGCTGGGAGCTCCCTGTCGAGCTCCTTAAACACACCTCCTCTTTTGCTCCTTCCCCCTTTTCTGCTCACTTGCAGATCTCCTTTCAATCAGCCCCACCACCCCCCGACTCCGCTGAGCATCTGTGGCAGTGCCCGCAGGTTCGTCAGACTGCCGCGGCGCGGCATGTGAAGACGCAAAGGCCTGGCACTGTCTGAGGCACCCTGAGGGTCCAACCCATCCAATGGAGGGTCCACTTGGGCTCAAAACAAAACAGCTATACAAAACAGATTGTCCTCCATCGGTACAAGTTTGTCCTGCGATGAAGTCGGGCACCATCTACACTTGCACCACGAATTCCCCCATGTCCTTTGTAAACGAGGAACTTCCACTATGTCGTAAAATTGATCTGGTTCCTTGCTGGGTACGACGATACAAACATGGATCATCATCTCACCCTGGAGCTGCCTGCTGGCCGTGGAGCTGCTCCTTGCCAGGCGTGCAGCCAACAAAGCGTCTCCTGGCCACAAGTGGCTGTTGTGTCCGGTGGTGCGCGGTCGTGCAACAACCAGGGGGAGGGGCCGTAGACCGTAGACAGGTTAACAATATAGTACAATCAGCCGTTGGTCGAACGATTGGCAGATTTGCCAAGTCATAACCTTGGGTGGGTGAGCAAAACCAAGAAGTGACAAAGGCCCCCTATAGCAAATACATGCGACTAGTCTTTAAGCATCAGGGATACAGCCCATTGAACACATTGAAATCACTGAACTCACTAAGTCCGCAACACACCTGGATCCTAACAATCCTTGTCTTGCACACCTGATTCTTCCATCCAAAGACCCGCCGACGGACCGCACCTCGCTCCGCCAGGTCCCGCTCCACGTTGGGCCACGCATCCACGGCCGCGGCCGCAGAGGCATCGGTCCAGGTGCGACCATTGAGGTCCAAACAAGTGACCTGGTGTGGTGAAGGAAGCAGCTGCTGGGTGGTGTTGAAGGAGAGTGGGGAGATGTGTTCAGTAGGCTTGGTGTAAGTGTATTGTGTTTTTTCTGGAATGCTTTGAGGTGATTGGAATTGGGCTTCGGGGATGATGTATGGGATGACGAGTCTGGAGGCAAGGGTGTTGTGCAGCTGGGTCTGCACTTAGGTGTGGCAAGGGCGCAAGTTCATCCCTAATGTTTTAGGAGCACCAAGCGCGCTTTTGCTCTGGGTTGCTTGCATGCTGGAGTCAGGCTGAGAGGCGGGCCCTTCAGAGGAAGCAACATTTTACTATTGGTTGGGCTGATTCATTACACGAAAAAGAACTCGTAGGAAATCATCTGTGCTCTCCATGCGCCTTTTCTTTTCTGGAAAGTGAGATTTGGCGCTTGCAGCACGAGAATTCATTCAAGAAAGAACTTTGTCTATGGAAGTGCTTCAAGGTTCACTGGGACTCAAGGCTTGCTGGAGGCTGCCTCAACCTTGGGCTCACCTTGAACACAAACATGTGTCGTCTTTCCACGAACGCCCGCCTTCAAATCTGGCTGCTCCATCCGGGCAGAGCGCGCCAGGCCCCATAAACCTGGAGATTTTGGAGCATTGACCAAGAACGAGATCCAAAACTTGCCCCCGTGGTCTGAGAAAATCTCTATGCGATGGACACGACCCTATTCTCCAACGTGTAGAGAGGATTGCATCCCAAAAAGTGAACGAGGCCTTAACTTAACTTTTAGTGGTTCATACTCCTGTTGATGAACCTCGCTACAGGGTGACACACCTGTGTTAGAGTGTTGCCACTTACAAATTGAGGTGGACATTGCACAATTCCAATACGAGGTGGTGAGCCAGGAAACAAGCAAACGGAAAGCCATATCAGATCGTGTTGTACTATTGTGTGTTTTGATCACATACAACCAGCAAATCACGGACAAGGTCCACTTCAACTGCTATTTGCATGTATGTCCATCCATCGCTCCTTGCCTGCGTGTTCTGGATCATGGCTGGTCTTCGTCATCTGGACGCCTTGTGCTCCACCTCACGACGGAAGCGCGAAAAAAGCGCGTCGAAAGGCCAAAGCAAATGCATCAACTGAACAAAGGGTTTCTCAGCAAAAACGGTGTTGCTTTCTCTCAGAGCTCACCGTGATGAACTCCGTATATCTCTGGACAGTATTTTCTCTTCGTTCTCCTCCTCAACATCTTCAACCGCTTGTTCTTTGCAGTTGCACTGACACCGCACCCGTGGATCCTCTCCATCCTGGGCTTCCCACCACTGCACAGCAGCAGTTGTGCACCACTGCCACTCCGCACATGTGCCTGCAGCAACTGCAGGGCCCCGTCCAGTGCGTCCAGCTGCTCGCCCACGGCTTCATAGGCGATGGAGCCCATCTGCCGGTGATGTGCCGAGTTGAACTTTCGTGGGGATGCGAAAAGGGCACATGTCGCGACGTGTTTGGATGAAGTTGTGAAATCCATGGATGTGGGAAGTCAGCTTCGGGCTTGGTGGTCAGAGTTTGGCTCAAAAATGCGAGACCAAGAGAACAATTTATACAAGGGGCGTTCTGACAGCTGCACAATGTGCTCTCCTTCAGTCTTGTTTTGAGTTAGAGATCAAATAGTGGAATATGGATATGACTCATGACACACCCCTAGTTTTCTCCGAGTGGACCTACCAAAATCTTTAGTCGGGACAAATCAACCAGGAAAAGCCTATAGGCTAGAAACTGATTCGTTCTGGATCTCAATTTCTGAGACCAACTGATAGAGGTTGACACCCACTCTCGCCGGACCGTCGCCGACCTTCATCGAGCCCAGCTGCTCGGTCACCTCGTCCAACTTCACAACGCCTCAGATTGCACTCGGTGTCAGAAAGATCACTGGTGTGATGCTCGGTGGTGTGTTGTTGGGTGCTGGAGAATGCTGGGGATGGCGGGTTGCATAGCCGGAGGTGACATGGGATCTGCAAACTTCTGTTGGTGGGGATGACAGTAGATTGAGCATCCCATTTTCCACTATGGTAACTATGGAAACAAGGTCATCCGCAGATAGGGCAGGCTTCCCATCAAAGTAGAAATGATATTTGGCAATCACCACCTCACAAGGAGCATCTGGGGATGATGACTTTGGATGACAACCTGTGTTGCTGTGAGAGTGCTCTAGCCTAAGGTTGGAGTGGTCTACCTTGGGTCTTTTCAATTTAAGGTCGACTGGGAGCCACAGGGACCCCAAGTGTCACGACTCAGTGGTCCACCCACGACTTCGTTTCAATCCACTGGGTATCCCCGCGAGCATCCGGCCAGCCCAAGACTGACGCCAAGCGAGTGCCGCGGGTGCCTGTGTTTGAAACGAGGGAACCTGCAGTGCACCGTTTTCAACCTACTAGTCTTCAATGGCACTAACCAAGCCGTGTGTGGGGTGTCCCATGGCTTTACCATTCGGATCGGTAGCTTTTCCTGAAGGCTACTTTGTACTTCCAAGATTGTAAGAATTCCCACAGCCACCAAGGACCAATATTACCAGGTTAATTGCCATAAACCAACTATATAATTACCAACAAAACAATCCAAGGATATGCGGTTGCAACATGTTGCAACTCTACCTGTCCCTGTCTTGCTGTCTTACCAGTGCAAGGTCCTGTTTGACACCTGCCGTAAGTGGAGCAGCCGTCCCAAATGTCAGCTCAATGCTCGGAAAGCAGGTGGGCTACAAGTCCAGGAAGCAGGGATAATTTTCGTAGCTTTCGTTTGCATCTCTTGACTTGACAAGGTACTGTCGTTGCTCACCACCACCTTGGGACCATCAGACGCATTCTTCGCAGCGTCCTCCGAATCGCCCACGATATTCACGTCCTTCCACTCGATATCGTACCTGCAGCTGGTAAGGCCAGGAGTCTTTTTCCAAGAATTAGTTGCCCGAAGAGGGCACGTTGCTATCACACGAGATTTACTACGATTTATATTATACAGTTTGTCCTCCAGTTTTGGTACTGCTGGTCTCTGTGCTCGTGCGGGCGAAGTCTGTGATTTGAGTTGCGTGGTGCACACCCATATCCACAAGCCATTCCAATTGCTGATTGAGATCATCGCCCAAGACATTTCAGTCTTAGGAGAAAGAGAACAATGTTTGGGTGCTTTACAGGTTGTCACACAATGAGTAGACGGATGTTCGTCTACTTCTATCCAGTAGTTTCTGGAGTCCTCATGCTACGGCCAAAACCAACGGCCTCTCCCAAGTCAGGCAAAATACACCCAGCTCCTTTCAGACAAACACCGACCGCTGTCTGATGGTTCCAAGCGACAAGCAATCGTCTGAGGCATCACGCTCCTGACAGCCAGTCAGTTGCAACATGCTACATCTATATAAGACGATCTTGAAAAAGAGGAAAGCCCCAACGCGGCTAGCTTAGATCGAATAAAGGATCCTCCAGAAGTCCTGGAGTTCCGTCCATTCCGCCAAGGGCCAAGTCATTCTATGCACATCTCCATTCAAGTAGCAGCTCACACTTTCTACCAAAGATGTCCTACATATCCCGATCCAAAAAACAGAGCCTGAGCCTGCCACCCCACCTGATCCCATCCCCCGCCTGCATGGCTTCCGCCTTCCGGCAGCTGGCACCCTCCAGGCGCGCCGCCAAGACGCCCTCTGCGGTGAAGACCTGAGGAGCTTTCCGGAGCGACAGCTCCAACACCAGGCACCACTAAAAGCGGCCTCCACCCTAGTAGCGATGGCTTGCATACTTATATAATGGCGATGGTCACAAAAGGAATAGTGTCTGCTAGCAGTAAAAGCCGCTTGTTCATGTTTGAAGACCATGGTATCGAGACCGATGGTTTGGAATCCCTAGCGGGTGGATGGGTTGGGCCAGGAAGCACTGACCTTGGAGGGTGCAGGTATGTATCATTGAAACTGAAACAACCACTTCAGTTTGGGTTTGGGGGTTTGCTTTGGAACTGGGGCCGTTCATGGACAGTCTTGACTCAAAACTCCAGCTGAGCTCTGCGTTTAACTACAAAGATTGCCAATCTGGTGCGGTCGGCATGGAAAACATGTGCTCGCCGGACCAAAACGTGTGGGCCCGCAGTTCTTGAGTTCTTATTCATACCTAACTGTGTATTGCGGTGGTGTCGTGTTTGGCTTACTTCCCTATTGCTGCTGACGGATGACCGAGCTGAGAGGTGCATTCAGATACCCACAATTGCTTTGCAAGATTGTTGCAGGATCGAATACCTAACAGTGAAGCCTTTAAAATTGACACACATAGAAGGTGGTTAGTTTTCTTTCCGGTCTTGCAGGGTCTCACGGAGTCACTATTCAATAAAAGGCAAGAGTGTTCGTGTGCTTCCCGGTGTGTGTGTGTGTCCAATCCTGTTTCCAAGGACACTACTCTAGTTCTCGTTCTACCCTACCCTACGAATCTTCCAACCACTGTACAGTAGCAGGGGGCCAGCGCATGGCATCACGACGCTGGCCAACGAAGCTAGTGATGTCATGGGAAGCAGTCAGAGACGTCTGACTGTGTACCTGCAATTTTTAATATACACTAAATTAATACTTCCTGTTGAAACATTCAAGTGAGCGGACTTTGCACTTCTTTCCGTTGAATCAAGTCAAGGGCTAAGTATTCACCTAAAGGGCTAATGCACACCGCGAAGCAGCCTGAAATCACGCTCCACGGAGCAACCTTCTCAAGTGTGTTTTCGCAGCTTCTTCCCACTGTGGTAAGCTGTGTGATCCCTACGGGGCGCCGTTACCGCGAGAACCTTCTCACTCCTCACCGAGGGAGTAAATTTTTCTGAATTCCCTCTGAAGTTCCTTTGACTGAATTTTTACCTGCTCGAAATCAGCTTGGATCGTCTCACCCCGCACATGTGAAGATTACTGCAGAGTACACTGAAATCCTTTCTGAATCTCACTGCAGAGTTAACTGAAAATGTTTCACCCGGAAATCCATTCCGTTCAAATCCTTTTAACTTTTCAAGTTTTAATTCAATTTTCCAGAGTTTAATTGCGGTCAGTAAATACACTTCACAACTTTTTCGACCTCACGGACCCCTATTTATTTTCATACATACATACATATTTTGATTGTCTTTGACGTGCCGAGCAGCCATGACGTATCCCTGGCCCTATTCCCTACCGCCACACATCCATCAGCAACCACAACCTGCACAACCCCATTGGATTCAATACCCACCACAGGCTCCACCACAACCATTTCCAACACTGCCACCGACTCCACCACAACACACAACCTCTCATCATTATCCATTTCCCACTCCACCTCCACCTCATGCTCAATACATCCAACCACATCAATTACAGGCACATTTTCCAGTACAACCCACGGTTCCTTTCGACACTACCCAACTTGCGCAACAACATCCGCATCTCACAATACAACCACCACAATCCCATGCTCACACACATCCCACATTGCCACTTCAATCTCAACCTCAACCACCACCTCTGCCTCCTCAACCACATCTATCACATCAACTACATCCATCACCACACACGACAAATCAATCCCCAGCCGCACCATCACTTCAACCACCACCACCACAAGCACCTGATTTACCACAAGCACGAGCACCTGATCCAGCAACAATCACTCCATCACAGCTGGCCACACCAACTCCACCACCACCACCTCACACTCCAACAGCCCCACCAGCGGCTACTCAACCTGCTTCAGCAACCATCACCACACCCGCACAGCCTCCGCCACCACACCACATTCCACGCACTACCAAGCCAACACCTTCCATTGCACCCACACTTAGCACTACAAAAGGCATTTGGCGCGACCCAGATCGCTCACCACCACGCACACCTGAACATCACCGCTACTCAGCCTTTCCAGCCGTTCCCACCATTGCACCATCACAAGCTACATCCAGATCCAGGAGCCGCACTCGCTCACTACGCACTACACGCTCTCCACTACCACGACGTCGAAGCTCCGCCAAACAATCCGTGGCTAGTTCTCAACCACAAACCAAGCCTGCAGACAGACAAACATCACCATCACCAGCAATCACCCAGGACAAAGCTCACACTCCCAGACAAAACATCACTACCGCTACCACTACAAAACACACTCCAGAGTCAACTCACCGTACTTCCAGCACCACACTCAAACCCAACCCACATTTCACACCCAAACATTCCACAAAACAGACACCTACACCGCCACCACCACCACCATTACCTACAGTTCCAGTACAACGTCGACCTCACAACTTGCCTCCTCCAAAATTCCAACCACCCACTGATCCAGCACAATTGGATGTCTTCCAATGGCTCAACCACTACGCACAAGCACTTGATGTAAAAAATGAACCCATGATTTCCTACGTAGCCAAGGTACTTAGCGCAGCTCATCTCAACAGCACCCACTTTACCGACCTACAACTTCTCACACACACAAAATGGAGCGACGACACCAACAAAGAAGAACATTACTCATTCCTACTACTCACAATCCCCACATTAGCGAGCAGGGGCGACGCCCCGATCCTTCCTCCTACACGGAGAGAAGCGCTGAACATACCACCTATAAAGCACATTTTTGCGGCACACGTTAGTGAGGAGGGCAACATCATTTCAATACTTGAAGCAGGAGAAATCGTGCGATCCATTCTACATGATGATCACAACGTGGGCTATTTTTGTCAGGCGTTCGAACTGTCGAACTATGAGCCCCATGACGCTGCTGAAGCTGCACGCGTCCTCTTCAATGCTTCCAATATGGCCAAGAACCGTAGCGGCCTCATTTTGACGATCAAAGCCTATGGGCACGGCCAGAAAGTCACTCATGGTGGCGAATCCGCAGCGAACGACTTGCTGCTCAGAGGAGAGGGGATTGTAAAATACACCCCCGGAAAATGCTGGGCGGCACATCCCAAACATTCCAGAATAGAAGGGATAGCCTGGAAAAGCGATGCAAAGCCACCGCTTAGTTTCATTTAATTCAACCTATTCAGCTCACGAGGTTCTTTTTCACCCCATATCCCGGATGACGACCTAGCCTCAAACAATCTCAGCCGGCTTGCCTGGTTTTTGATATTGATTTTGGTTTTTCTAACTCTTCGATGCCAACCTCCTTTTCTTCCAATATCTTATTTCTGTGCAGCTTGATGCCGACAACATGATCTTCTTCACGACCACTATCGTTTCAATTTTCCAGACTTACAGCATGTCAGCCTTCCTGGTTGGTTTTAAGCATTTCGAAGAGAGTCCGCAAGATTTTCCTTTTTTGCATTCTGCCCCGCAGCCATTTTGTATTATCTTGAATATTGAGCTCGATCCTTGATCCTTGACAACCGCCCGTTCTATATTTGCTCTACGACGAGTATCACGACGATGACTTCACCTATGGACACAGCATTTGCACATCGACTCCTTCTGGCACACCTTCAAGCAGCCACATCCATTGCCACCACTTTTCAAAACCTACCACTTTTTACACCGCAACCACCACAGCATACACACCACCAACCCATTACCACTCCACCTTCTTCCCCAAGACCAACCAGACGCACTCCTCCACCACCGCAGCCACAGCCATCTCAGTCACACAGTCGCAGTCCACCTCCCACCACAGGCAAACTTTTCAAGGAGTGCAAACCAGAACCTTCTCCCTCACACACGCCCACTTCACCACATCAGCATTCACCACACCACCACAAGCCCAAAGCGACTCACCATCGCCTTCCTCAGAAGAACAATACAGAACCCATGCCACCACATACACCACCGATCACAACGATTTCCCTCACCAGCTCGCCCAATTCGCCTCCACAACCAGTACCCACTCCACAACCAGGACCATCAACAAAACCAGCACAAATCCTCACGGAGTCACCTCCTTATCCTGATAATGGAGGCTGGGAACCCAGCGAAGATGAAAAACTGGCGGCCTTCAAACTCAACAAGCGAGCTCGCCCCAGTTGGAAGTACATAGCCAAAGCACTCAACAAAACACCTTTTGATTGCAAAGGTCGATGGCAAGTCTTGCGAATTCTTTACACACCTCAACAGCCAGACAGTCCAGAAGTGGAACCGGAACCATCATCACCTCACAAAGCATCCCATCAAGCAGCGGCATCTCCTCCAGCCACAAAGGACGCCAGTACGATGACTACAGAACCTCCGGCTCCATCAGACAAAGAGACATAGAACACAAAACAGCAGTATATGATCGTCCAAACAGAGCTTCCCAGGACTACTTGGTGCTGAAGAACATCCAGAACTATTGATGGCTTTGTACTTTATTGTCAATTCGTACATATTTACATATTGGCTTATTGCTTCTTGTCGTTTCAGCAGTTGTGAGCAATAGACTCCAACCCACCACATACCACTACAGCTTTCTTCCACAAGTGCAGCAAAAACAAGATCGATTGCCAGCGGAGCTCATGTTGTTTCAACACACGCCACACACATCAAACTTGCGACAACTGACACATCGCCAGTGCTGTGTACAGACCATCCATGTTATTCCGTCTAATTCGTCTCCTCAGTGCATGTATGAGATTTATTCTGGACTGTTGCATCTTTTGTTGAATTTGATGTTTTTTCTGTGTTTCCTTTTTGTCGAACTTGAACGTGATGACCATTTCGGTTCCACCTTGATGTACTTGCAGCTCAGCT